ATTTTGGTTACGGAAATTAGTTCAAAAGATGAATCTGTTGGAAACAGAAAGGAAATGGAAATGGAAAATAACTACTCAATAGTTGTGAAAATTGTATAAATGTAAGTCTGAAGCTGTCTGAAAAGATCATTTAACACATCCTCCTGCCGGAAGGAGAATCCAGGCTAGCTGGATCAACTCTGGCAGATGTTATCTAGTGTGTTCTTGTTCATCCAGTGAAGGTGATTCCAAAACCATGCCCGTAGTCCGTTTCAGTGCTTCATTACTCTGATACTTGGCATTGTTTTCTAATATTCAACATAAAACTGCTTTAGTTCCAGTTAAACCCATTATTGCTTGTCCTACTTTTCATTTGGCATTGGTCTGTGGATAATGTTTTTTTAGTAAATTGCTACACATTAAGAGACCTCTCTCTACAACAAAGACTGAGACTTGTTTTTGTTTATAAAACAAACACAGTTCCTCCACAGATCCGCATTTTCTAAGCTTCCTTTCAGTCTTGCTGCCTTGGTGAAGAATCACTTTTATTTCTCTGTCATGCCACCACACTGGGCAGAGAACAACATATGATGCCTGACCAACACCAAGAACAATATAATTGCTTTCTGCGCCTTTCATAATATTCCTCAATGCAGAATTTTATTTAGTTATTTATAATACTTTCTGTGTACTGTAAGCCCATAAATTTTTCTGCAGCACTGCTGCCTAGACAACTAGTCATCGTTTTGAATTTGTGTATTTTGATGGCTTCGTTCTACAGACAGCACTTTATATTTTTTAAGCAAATTTCCTCTTGTTGATTTCTCCAGCCTATTCAACATTTTTGTTTTTGACCCTGGCATTCAATGTGCTTGTAACTTCTTTCTACATGCTGTCATTACAAAGCTTTTATGTGCACCACTTTTATTCCATGATTCAAGTTATTGCTAAAAATACTGATTAGCTCTCGGGCCAGAACAAACTCTTCTTGCACTTACTCTTCCTACTTTGATAACGATTCATTAGTAACTATTGGTTACTTTTTTTCCCTAGATTGTATATTCTTATTTTATGTGAAAGTTACGTGGGACAGCATAAAAAGGCACATTTACTGTAAAATGACACATCTACTATTTCCCATTCATCCATTAAACCAGCTGTCTACCAAAGAATAAAATCAGATCATTTGACGTATACTCTTGACAAATCCGTGTTGGCTTTTTGTGTATATGATAAGCTGATATATGATGCTGAGTGTTTTGTTGTAAACACTTACTGGATAAATACTTGTTCTGCCATTTTGTTAGTTATTATTCAGCTACTAGTTTTCTGGATGTTGAATGGAGCCTAATGGACTTAAAATTTCCTCAGTCCTCCTGCTGTCCTCCCTCCTGTAAAGGATAGTGGGAGAAGAAGGATAGCTAACTTTTTGGATTAGGACCTCACACGTTTCCCCAGTCATTCAGGATCTCTATTTTCCACAGAATCCTCAGAGGTAACTGCTACTAATGTTATAGAGAAGGATTCATCCTAAACAAAACTGAAAAACAGTCTAGAAACCATTTTAACTTGATAATATCCTGCATCCTGATGATACAAAGCTTAATTATTTCTGAAGATACAGAGAAGAAAAAATGAACAAGGTCCGAGGGTAAGCTCTTTTTAGCACTGTTAGCTTTTCTCTAGGATACCAGTGCATATACAACACAAATGTTTGTCCCTAGTTTTGAACTAGTAATACATAAAAAATGATATAGTTCTGGTAGTAGCTTCAAAGCACGAAAGCCCAGGAAAACACTGCAGAGCTCAGCACACAAAACTCTCTATGAAGGAGATGTTTTCATGTATTTTCCTATATCTGTTTGTACTTACTCATAATCTTTTAGTCTTTTAAAGAGATTTAGTATTTATGTTCAGACTTCTCTTCCTACTGTACCCGTCAGCAAATACTATACATGAAAGCTAGTTCCAGAGCAAGCCAACAGAAAGATGTTGAGCTTTGCTTCCCCTGCACATTTATGTAAAAAATTGTTTCAACTTGTGTACAATTAACATCGAACAAGAGATATTTTTGTAAGGTAAGCATTTATCTACCCAAATATATGCCGTCAAAACTGAAATTAGAACTGAGGCACCCGTGGCCCTTTATCTCATGTTCAATCTAATTCAGAAATGCTAGAATAAGAATGTATTACAGTGGGTAAGTCTACTTAAGATCTGCCCCCAGAATTCAGCCAAATTAACAGCATTGGAACAATTTTGTATTGTTA